TATAATGCAACCAATTTATGTGGTACTATTTAGTGCCAGAACCCTATCGCCATGTTAAATTTCATTAAAAATGATATTAGTTTTTTGAAAAAAAAAAAACAAATTATTTTGTGAAAATTAAGCATCTGCTATAAGAAAATACTGGCACAATTATGTATATCATGTACATAGTGTTTGATATTATTAATTTACTAGTGGGGTGCATGGCATTGTGTCTTAAGACAAATTGCTAGAACTTTCCGTACCGTAACTAAAAATCTTGGTACGGAACCCAAAAAAATTTACACAAAATGTGTACAAATTATTGAAATCTCTACAAAAAATCTGATAATTTGAAGGACATATGTCCAATAATCATTTCTGACCGCCATTTTTTTTTTTTAACTTATTTTCATTGAGAGTACATAACCGCTGGACCTGCTTTCTCAAAAATTTGAACAGTCTTGTTAATACAAGTAAAATGTCTTTTGAATTATTAAAATCGGACGCTCCGTACTCTTAGAAACTGAGTTACCTTTTTTGGCACTTTTTGCCCTATCTTCGGAACGGCTAGTCCTGCCTTCGCCAAAAACTAATCAGCACGTCTCCTTATCAATACGAATCTAAAGTTTTTTGAATACTTGAAATCGGTTGAACCATGTTCCCGAAATCGTCGGCGAAAAGTTTGTATCCGCACACACATACATACATCCATCCATTTTTTTCTAATGTATGTCGAATTGTTCAGAAACCTCTGAAACGTAAGGATATATAATAAAAATTTTCATTTTCAATTTTTTTGCGATTACTACAACTTACCCTACGGGAAGTTAAAAATAATGGCAACATTTTTTACACTAGTAGAGAAGTTTTGTAGACAGATATAAAGATCTATTTAGAAAATTATGAATTAATTTCTGTGAACCATGCACAAATTTATAATCTTATGATCGCAAAATTTTTGGAAAACGGTCACAAAAAAACACTTCAAGGCTAATTTCAAAGAAATGGCTTTGCTAATCGTTTCGCAAACCTAATCGCCGCTTCTCCTTATCAATTTTCTTATCAAGGACAAAAAATCGAAAACCAGCTCGCACTCGTACTTTTTCCAAATGTTGTCTCATTCGATTCAGAATGACTTCAAACTCCGAGAAAATATAAAATTACTAAATCGTTTTTTTGGCAAAGTAAATTTAGTAAACATTTATTTTTTTCATTTTAGGTAGTGGTAAAACAACGCAAGTACCCCAATTTTTATATGAAGCAGGATACGCAAGAGACAAAGTAATTGGAATCACAGAACCTCGCAGAGTAGCTGCCATTTCAATGTCAGAACGTGTTGCTACTGAAATGAACTTATCAAATAAAATCGTATCTTATTTAATACGTTTCGAGGGTAATACTACACCTGAAACAAAAATAAAATTCATGACTGATGGTGTACTTCTTAAAGAGATTCAAACAGATTTTGCATTAAAAAAGTATTCAGTTATTATTTTAGATGAAGCGCATGAAAGGAGTGTATATACTGATATATTAATTGGACTGTTATCTAGAATTGTTCCCTATAGAAATAAACATAATGATCCATTGAAATTAATTATTATGTCTGCTACTTTAAGAATTGAGGATTTCACTGAGAATACACGTTTATTCAAAATTCCACCACCTGTGATAAATATTGAGACAAGACAGTATCCAGTGTCTATTCATTTTAATAAAAAAACACCTGATGACTATTTATTAGAAGCATTTAGAAAAACTGTTAAAATTCATACAACCTTGCCAGAAGGAGGTATTTTAATTTTTTTAACTGGACAGTTAGAAGTGAATTCATTGATGAGAAAATTGAGAAAAGCTTTTCCTTATAAGAATATTAAAAATTCCACTATCAAAAACGATGAAGAAAAACCTGAATTGGATTCAGATGGTGAAGTTGTGGAATGGAGTATGAAGAAAGCGATACGCAATGCCAAGAAAAGGCATAAGAAATTAAGAACTGAGTTACCAGAAGTTAATTTAGATGACTATGATGTTCTAAGTGACGATGCAGATGCAGATTTGAAAGAACTTGATGATAAAAATGATTTGTCTGATGATGAAGAATATATGAGCTTGGTAAATTTGTCAAACACACAGCCCTTATGGGTGCTACCAATGTATTCACTATTACCTTCTCATAAACAAGCTAAAGTCTTCAAGCCTCCGCCTGAAGGTACCAGGTTATGTGTAGTATCAACTAATGTAGCAGAAACATCTTTAACAATACCTAATATAAAATATGTTGTTGATGCCGGACGACAGAAAACTAGAATTTATGACAAAATCACTGGTGTAAGTGCCTTTGTTATCACATACTGCAGCAAAGCTGCTGCAAATCAAAGAGCAGGTCGTGCTGGTCGTACTGGTCCTGGACATTGTTACCGACTTTATTCCAGTGCAGTCTTCAATGACCAATTCAAAAATTTTGCTGTTCCTGATATTCAACGTAAACCTGTAGATGATTTGATGTTGCAAATGAAAAGCATGGGAATAGATAAAGTTGTTAACTTTCCATTTCCATCTGCACCTGATCTTCTTCAATTGAGATATGCAGAGACTAGGTTGACACTTTTAGGTGCTTTGCAATCCAAAACGAAAAATAGTTTGGAAAGTGATTATACTGCAAAAATTAGTGCTCTAGGAAAAGCCATATCAGCATTCCCAGTAGCGCCGAGGTTTGGTAAAATGTTAGCATTGAGTCATCAACATGATTTGTTACCATACACCATTTGCATGGTAGCAGGATTATCTGTTCAAGAAGTCTTGCTAGAAGTAACATTGGACAATGAAGGACAGCAAAAATCGAAATGGGCTACAACAAGACGTTCTTGGGCTGGTACTGGAAATTCTTTATACATGGGAGATCCCATGGTGCTTCTTCGTGCCATAGGAGCTGCTGAGTACGCAGGAAGTGTTAATAAACTGGAAGAATTCTGCACGCAAAATGGTTTAAGACCGAAAGCAATTACGGAAATTCGCAAGTTAAGAATACAATTAACCAATGATATAAATTTAAACATGCCAGAATTAAATTTATTGTCGATCCCAAAATGAATCCACCATCAGATTTTCAAGCTAAACTTTTAAGACAAATTTTATTGAGTGGTCTAGGAGATCATGTAGCTCGTAAGATCAATGAAAATGAATTAAAGGAAAATGAAGACAAAAGGAAATTCAAATATGCTTATAAATGTTGTGAAATGGAAGATCCTGTTTTTATACATTCTTGTTCAGTGCTCAAAAAGAAAGTACCAGAATGGGTGGTGTACCAAGATATATATGAAACCAGACTTGGAGATAGTACTAAAATATTTATTCGTGGTATTACAGCTATTGAACCAGAATGGCTAACTAAATACGTACCTTTATTATGTAATTTCAGTGAACCATTGAACGATCCCGAACCTAGGTATTGTTCTAATAAAGGCAGAATATATTGTCATGTTAATGCAACTTTTGGAAAATCTGGTTGGACTTTACCAGTGTCTGAAATAGAATATCCAGATAATTTGGATAGTTATAAGTGGTTTGCATACTTTTTATTAGATGGTGTAGTTTTTGAGAAGTTATCGAAATACAAAAACAGTTTATTATCAAAACCTAATACAATGACTAAAAATTGGGCAAGATTGCTTCCAAGGACTGATGCTTTATTGAAAACACTTGCTGCTAAATTAGTAAATACAAGAGATAAATTATTAGAAGCTTGGAAGACTGATTCTAAATGTAAGGGTTTGTTGTATAGATATAAAAACATTTGTAAGTAGCCTTAAGGTTGCATGAACTTTCCAATACCGTTTACATAATCAATTTAATTAATAAGAATTGAGGTTCAACTTTTTAGGTAAAATGTTCAAAAATAAAATTTTCACTTCACCATGTTTTCCAATTGATGTCTTTCAAACAGACTGATTACAATAATTGTATAAATTAAATTAATTTGTTTAACACATTTCATTTCATCTATTTTGAGTTTTAATATCCATTTTATTTAAGTGTGGACGTCAACGGTAATCAGTAGTTATCTACGAAACACGGAATATATTCTTAGTTACATCGAATGGGTATTAAATTTTTGAAATCGGTCCAACGAAAGATCGAAAAATCGACTTACGCACACATATACTTTTTCCAAATTTGATCTCAGTCAATTCAGAATGACTTGAAATGTCGAGAAAATTAATAAAACTTAATTTATTTTCAGATCTGTTATCCGCTTATCAAATGTGGATTCCACAATCAGCACATAGTGAAGTTGCTCTTATTTGGCCGCCCATAAGTGATTAGAATTAGAATGAATTAAAATTGAATGAACTGAATGAATTAAAATTATAAATGAAATATTTATACTGAAATATATTATTTACATAGTAACTTCATATATTTTTTCTTTTTATATTTAACAATAATTTATAACATAATATTTATAAAATCTTTTATGGCATTTATTACTATCATAATAAAGCAAAGCTATTCTAGAAGGACTTATGGTTCAAATAAACCGGACTGAGGCACACAAGAAGGTAAATACAATTATATTTTTCATTTTAAACTTTAAAATCTATATTATACATAGCTATGGTTAAGATAAAATGTGTTCAGTCCACAATACGGTGGTACCCTGACTTACGAGCGACTCACGTACGAGTGTTTCGAGATACGAGCCGCCAAAGAAGCGGCTTGTTTGCTTAAACCAATGAGCAAAATTTGAGATACAAGCTTCGAGCGAGTCAGAGTTTTCTTGGAAAATGTTAATGGTAAAATGAAAATATGAAAAATTTCGTCAATTGTGACAAAGATTTTCCTAACATAGAAATATTTTGTCTGTTTTATGATAGTAAATTATTTCATAGTTAGTAATTTAATTATATTTTAATATTAATTGTTTAATAACATGCAAATTAATCGAGAATTGTTTTAATGTTTGATATTTTAACATTAATTGTGATTGTGCAGATATTTATTAATTATATGTTAAGTTCGCGTGTTTTGCTTTTTATTAAATAAAAATTAAGTATTATTTATATTCATGATCATGGGTTAAAAAAAACCATGTCTCTTCAATTAAAGTGTGAAGTAACACAAGTATTGTGTTTAAACAGGAGTTTTTAAAGGATATAACTGCAGCTAAGGCCTACAGTAATTTACAATAATTTACAAGCAGCTTTCTAAGCTCCAAAAGTTTGTGAATATAAATGAATCCAAAACAGAGTTTGTTCAACAAAACATGTCTAACTCTCAAACAATAATTAAATAAATGACAAGTAAACTTATTTTAAATGTCTAAGAAACTTAACAAACTCCACAGTATTAATGGCATTTTAATGTAGTTATATGAAAAATGTTGCTTCAAGATTTGAGGCAATTCGATATCCAAGAGTGGTTACGAAACAAATTAAACTCGACTGTCGGGGTACCATTGTATTTTGAATTCCTCCAATTATAAGTGAATAAATCTGAATTCCTTAATGGGCCAATTTTATAATAAGTGCCGCGCACATTTCAAAAAACTCCATTGTATGATGTCCAGAAATTGTGGACATTTGACTCTGCATTCCAGTAGTGCCAGCACTGTCTAAAATTTCATCACCGGTTTCCATCTCTTCAGTACTCAAAGACTTGAAATCCAGAAGATAACTCTTATGATCGACTTGGTATAATTGTAGAGACATTTTAACATATTTATCACTCAACTTAGTCTTGTCCCTTACTCTAACATGATATGGATTAATGACTTTCCATTCATAGTCCAATGCTTTCATTGCTCTGTATACCTCAAGCATAATATCAGATGGCTTAGATTGAGATCTAATACCCAAATGCCATTTCGCACGTTTTACAGGGGGTCCTTTAGCGGCATTTCCCTGGAAATTTGGTATACGCTCACGCAGTGGAGCAATTCTTTCAGGATGAGGTTTTCCAGTTGTGGAATTTTCAGTTGCTGAATCATTTTTGTGGTCTGCCTTCTCATTAGGGCTATAACTTACAGGTGGTGGAGAGCCAGCGACATAAAAATCTTTCAGTTCAGCTTTAGCAGCTTCATCGGCTATTCTTTTGTTGTCTATTACTAAGTGGTATGCTATAGCTAATTGATCATGAGGGTCCCCGCTGAGTAATGCACTGTGGACCTCAGATTCTTTAACACCGAATTTTTCACATACCTATAAGCAATTTTATAATTTAATATCAAATAAATGAATGAAGTAGCTGTAAGTGGCATTTTGCCTTTAAGGCAAGTTACATTGACTTTTCGATATGTGAGAATAGTCGACTTAATCGTCAATGAAAGGTCAAAAATCGGCTTTCTCTCTCACATACACACACACGCTCATTATACTTTTTCCAAATTCGGTCTCATTCGACACAGAAAGGCTCGATACGTCGAGAAAACATAAAATTAAGTCCGGTGCACTCGACGCCAGATTTTGTTACTTAGCAACGATGTGATAAATCATAATTTACGATCTTCCCCGACATATTTTACGATCTTGCCAACCAGATTTCACGTTTAAGCTCTCTATTCACAACGGCAGTATGTCGTCGGAAACTGATTTCCCAACAACTCCTGTCTTCGAAAATTCGTGCCGTATTTTATGATGTTCTATTCGTCGATTAATGAACTGTTTTGTGGCCGATACTTTCAGTGACCAATAGAAAAGCTGTATTTTGTCACGTAAATATCAATGTGTACTTGATTCATGTACTTCGACTTTAGAAGCGTTCAGTTTTTATTTTGTGAATAGCTATTGTTTATATAGAGCGATGTGAAAAATAATTAGTCATAGGGAAATGCAGTTCAATAAGTTTAAAATATTTAAATTACCGGAAAAATTTCAAATATACAATGCTCTATTTGTACACTTATAAGCATTAGTGCATTTTAGGCCTATAAAATATGAATTGGGAAATTCACAGTATATATTTATAATAATCAATTTCAAAATGCTTCAAATTCAAAATTATTAGTAATCATAAAATAATGAAAATCTGGCGCAAAGTTCTTGCTCACATTACCAGGAAACTTAACAGAAATCCTGTTACAAGAAATATTGGCGTCGTGTGCACTGGGCTTTAGCAAATCGGATTTTTTTGCAAAAGCAAAGTTCTCCTTCGCAAAGTTAAAAATTTAATTAAGATCAGTATAATTGTTATTAATTACCTCAGCAATTGCAATAGTATCAATAACACTGCTATCCTGCTCCACAGGAGAAGGAAATAGATAAGCAGGCAAATCCTTTTGGAACCACTCATGATTCTTAACATCATCAATTGCCGCTCTTTTCATAGGATCTACTTGCAACATTTGACACAGAAGGCTCACAACAGGCTTGTGCAAATATTCAGGTATTGGAAAAATTCCTGATTTAATTTTTCTAAACAGTGTCGGAACATGTTCGTCATCAAAAGGTAATGTTCCACATAATAAAGCATATAATATAACACCGCAGGACCAAATATCAACTTCAGGTCCTGCATATAATTTTCCTGAAATAACTTCTGGAGCAGCATAATTGGGAGATCCACAACTGGTTCTTAAAAATTCACCGTCCATCATCATGTTGGATAAACCAAAATCAGCTATTTTAACATGCATGTTGTGGTCCAGTAATAAATTTTCGGGTTTTAAGTCCCGATGCACTATCATATGTCTATGACAATAATCTACACCAGATATTATCTGTTGGAAAAATCTTCTAGCTTCATGCTCTTGCAGTTTCCCATGTTTTACAATATAATCAAACAATTCACCACCGCTTACATACTCCATTATCATAAAAATATCAGTAGGTGTAGAAATTACCTGGTATAATTTAATAATGTGTGGATGTCTGAATAGTTTAAGATTCTGTATCTCCCTTCTAATTTTTCCGACGACATCTAAACTTTTAATTTTTTGACGATTCAATATTTTCACAGCCACTTTATGTTTTGTCAATTGGTGTTCGCCAGCTTTAACTTTACCAAATGTGCCTACACCTAAAGTTTGGCCTAGAGTATAGTGGCCTATTTTAACTAAAGGGGCTTGTTGGGCCGATAACGGCCCTGGTTTTTCTGCCATTGGTATTCGACTCAAACTCCCATTGCACTTAACGTATATTAATTAGAGAATAATTCCCACTTTGTATCTTTGTCAAGTTTATTATCAGTTATTAAATTCTATTAAAAGTTTTATATAATTGAATGTGCCAAGCAGCACGTAAAATGGTAAAAAATTGACGAATTTAATACGCAATATTCTTAGGTCAACAATGGACAATTTGACACTTGTTTGACAGCTGCCATGTTTAATCAGCTGACAGATAGAGGTCGACAAGAATAAACAGTGTTGACTAGCGAGATTCAAATGATTCGAATCAGAAAAAAACTGATTCGAATCATCTGGGACAAGCCGAATGGACAAAATAGTTAAGACAAAAAAACGATGTATTAATTTAGTAGATGTATGTAATTAAAATTGAGTTTAACCAATGTACTCGTCAAAATAAAGGTTGCAAATATAATATAACTGCTACAAAAATATATTGCAAAAATTATTCAGATTCTAATCAGAATCTGTGCCGAAGCATATGTACGTTTTTTGATGTTTCGCAAGTAGCTACTGATTACAGTTGACATCCACACTTAACAATAATATAAATTGATTGCCTTTTTCACGGTGATTTAATACCCCCTTATATATTGTGATATTTAATATTCATATTTGAATATAACGGTTGACAGTGTCCATCCTGACGTGTGAGCTCTATGGATATGCAATAGTGATAGTGTCCGACCCTGGCAAGGTAAAATATGTCTCTGACGTCTCTGACCAATCAGAGTTAGGTGTTGAATATAAAAGATATATTGGAAGGAGGAGCCTCGACAATATGAAAAGAATATAGTAATGAGTATATTCAGAGCATTGTGTGAGCTGGTGTGAGCGATTGCTGTCTGATATTTTGGAGTTGTTAAATAAATTGTGTAAAGTAATACCGGGTTAGTTATTGACATTTATTCAACAAAATAGCAAGTTAGTTTAAAACGTAAGTGTGTATATATATTTTATATTGTGTTGAAATATTTTTGAGGTAAGCTACTACATTTCTACATTGAATTTCATGTTTTACAATTATTACTTTGATTCAGATTATTATTATTTTTTTAGTTATTTAGTTATTTATTATTATTTTATTAATTATAACTTAGATTTGAAAAAAGTGTCAATTTTTTTGTGCACAATTTAAGCCACAATCTTGAATCGCTTTTAAACTTTAATCAAAAACTGTTTCAAAGATGTAAGTTTAGAATTGCGTTGGTTAGTTTTTGGTAAAAATCGGCCATTTTTTCGTAATTAAATATCGATTTTTTTTACGATTCTGATGAAACTTAGTATAACGAAAGATTTCACAGTTTGAAATATTATACTAAAATATTATAGGTCTGCGATAAACGGTTGAATTATAAAAAATCATAAGCGATTCTAAATCATATTTACGTTTCACAAGTAGCTACAGATTGAAGTTAACGACCATACTCAAATAAATTTCATTTTAAGAACCCAAAATGGATGAATTTATATTATAAACAAATTAATTTAAATTATAAAATTACAAATGATATAAGCATAGATAAATAAGCATAATGGATTTAAGTATGTTCGAAAGACATCAATTGAAAATCGTATTGATATTTTTTAGTGGAATTTAAGTAAATTGCTATTTTTTAAATAAATAATTGATTATTTTATCTAAATATGTATTTGAATATAAATTTTTATTGATTTAGATGATTGGATGGTGGATAAGTATCGGGAAGTTCATGCAACTTGCCTTAAGGCAAAATGCTACTTACAACTGGTTATATTTATATTATTTTTATGCTTATTAAAATGTATGTTCATACATACATGACATTGTACACATACATACATACATTGTATGACAGTCAATATTCTCGTCTTAATGTGAGTTGATTCGAATCAAATAATTCAATTCAGATTGATTCGAATGACTGGAATTATGTTCATGCATCTATCGACATATTTTTATCTATGTTATTTAAAGATATTAAATAAATCAAACAATTCAAGTTTTCGAATCTATATGAAGGAAATTGTTTATATACTGTTTGTGCTCGATCACGCATTCCTGCGCTACGCTTATAAACAAAAATCTAAACAAATTCCAATTTGTTATTAAGACGGAAAATAGCGAAACGTATTTCGTGGTTGTATTTAAAAAAAGTGCTCGTTCGTTAGGTGAGGCACGCCTTAACGAACAAGCACGAACCACACGACGAAAAATATGCAAGTAGTTATGCTTTCGCTTGGCGATAATTCAGTCTGCGTATGTTAAAAATCTAAACAAAATTCCAATTTGTTATTAAGACGGAAAATAGCGAACGTATCTTTCGTGGTTGTATTTAAAAAAGTGCTCGTTCGTTAGGTGAGGCACGCCTTAACGAACAAGCACGAACCAACACGACGAAAAATATGCAAGTAGTTATGCTTTCGCTTGGCGATAATTCAGTCTGCGTATGTTGTTCGTCGTGTTCGTTCGTGCTTGTTCGTTAGGTGAGGACGCACCTTTACGTTTACTTTAGTTGAATCATCGAGTGAAATATACCAATCAGTATCGCAATATATAGGTTAAAAAACAACAGTATGTATCGCTTATAAGCATAACAGTATGTTTTGAATTTTTAGTATATAAACTATATAAAGCAGCCTTAGACAACATGAGAATCTAAAATATTCATAACGAACTATCGAAATATGTTCAGTACATTTCTCAGTTCTGCTTATAATATATATATATATATATATATATATAAATATTTTTAATTTTTCTAAAATTTGTCATCTCTCTCCTTTTGGGGGCAAACTCACACACAAAAATATACTATGACAAAGTTATAGTAATCGCAAAAAATCGAAAATGAAAATGTTTATATATCTTGACGTTTCAGAGGTTTCTGAACATTTTGGCATACCTTACAAAAATGGTGTATAAAATGTGTGTGTTTTTTTTGTCTATCTAAGTCACCAGTCTGGGGGCATTACTTCGTGGGGGGAGGATCTAGAATGTTATTATTCTTAACTTGATTTAACCATTTGCCCTTTCTTTTTCCATAGAACGCAGGTCAATTAGCACCTCTCTCTATGTGTGTATGTGTGTGTGTGTGCGGATACAAATTTTCGTCGACGATTTCAAGAACACCGATCAACCGATTTGAATAATTAAAAAAACATTCGATTCCTATTGATAGGGAGATGTGTTAGTTTTGGCAGAGGCATGCTAGTCGTTTTGGAGAAACGACAGAGGCATGCTAGTCGTTTTGGAGAGGCAGCAGAGAGAAACGGAAAGAAAAAGAAATCGAGTTTTTGAGAGAACGGAGCATCCGATTTTAATAATTCAAAAAACATTTTACTTGTATTGACAAGATAAACAACTGGATTTTTGGGAAGGCAGGTCCAGCTGTTATGGACTCTCAATAAAAATAAGTTCAAAAAATGCCATTTGGCGGTTAAAAATGTTTATTGGACATATGTACATCAAATTAGAGATTTTATCAATGTGTACACATTTTTTGTATTTTTTTTTTGGGTTTCGTACCAAGATTTTTAATCACGGTAATCTATGGTTACAGCAATTTGTCTTAAGGCACGATGCCAAGCACACCACTAGTCTAATTTGAATTATATACAATATGCATTTCTTTATGTTTGTATTACACATCGCATTTTAGGCGCGTAATTTGAATTAATCATATTCTGTTTGAAAAATCAGGTTCTCAGTGCAATTAAAATATCTTCTTTATATCTAATTGATATGATTGGCAATTATTAATAACAATCAATATATGAACACAAACAAAAGCTTAAATATATATTTTTTCTTTTGAAGAGAGGTTTGACAAGTATTATAGATAAATAAACATGACATAAGTAAACTTTAAGCTATTTCTGAGAGGTTATGATATACAAATTAAATATATATATATATATATATATATATATATATATATATATATATAAATAGCTATGAAAGCAAAAGTAAGTATAAATAGCATATATTTATTAATAATATTGTTATTCGCTGTTCTTAATAGTCCTGCATTTAGTCTTGCTATTTCTCAATGGATCTATAACCTTTATATTAATATTATATTACTAATGCAGGCAATGAGCAGAGGAGGTCACAGGGGTTCTAGAAGAGGTTTTCGGACACCTGTTAATTATCCACCTAATAATAGTTCCGATGATGATGAAATTAACAAAAATACTGAAACAAGTAAAAACAAGCGTCCTACAAAATATTCCCCTGCGAGCTATAACTTCAATTTGGGAAGAGGGAATGATGGTCCATCATACCACTTCCGTAAACGGTTTCAGAAGAATAGGGGTGGACCTCCTGCAGATGTACGTGCAGGAGATAATATTTCGTGGTACCGTGATCGTATAAAGAAGGAACAGCAACAAGAAAATATGAAAAAGGTAGTTAAGGAAAAGATATTATATATATATATATATATATATATATATATATATATGTAGCAGCAAACATTATTTAGCCATATATGCAAAATTGTGGATGTAGAAGTTAGCAAATTATATAGATAGTTTACCCACTGCAATTTTTTGTTAATTCTGTTTATTTGTTGTTTTACCTTGTACAGTTTTTTTAGAATATTTATAGAGTAGTAAAAAGAATTACTTAATTATTGTTAGTGTGTAGAACATCAAAATTTCTAGTTAGTAAATATAATTTATACAGACTATCTTTTGCTAATGCACCTAACCTCTCTTTACCCTCGGTTCACTCTTATATATATATATATATATATATATATATATATATATATATATATATATGTTAAAGAAGTTAGTTTTGATGTTGAGAAATATGAGTAAGTTCTTCAAGGGCATACATCAAATAAAAGGCAAAGATTTAGAAGTTAATCTTTAATTTTTCCAAACGTTTCGACATAGTATTTTATGTCATCATCAGTGGATATAAATATGGTCTTACATCAGTAGCTAGCGCAAGGCACATAATTTTGCACTATCATATATACACTAACTTGTTTTTTTATTATTTTGTTGAACAGAGCATAGCAAAATATTTGTGAAATATATAATATATTTTGCACAGAGCTTTGCAAAATATATTATATATTTCACAAATATTTTGCTATGCTCTGTTCAACAAAATAATAAAAAAAAAAACAAGTTAGTGTATATATGATAGTGCAAAATTATGTGCCTTGCGCTAGCTACTGATGTAAGACCATATTTATATCCACTGATGATGACATAAAATACTATGTCGAAACGTTTGGAAAAATTAAAGATTAATTTCTAAATCTTTGCCTTTTATTTGATGTATGCCCTTGAAGAACTTACTCATATATATATATATATATATATATATATATATGCATATGTGTTTGTGTATGTATATATATATATATATATGCATATGTGTTTGTGTATGTATATATATATATATCTATGTGTGTGCACGCATTCATAATAATTCTATTTTTAATTTAAGATACCTGTAATAAGAATCAGCCAAAGAAAAGTTGATAAAATAAGCTCGTTGCTCAATACACCTGATATAAAAAAATTTTCATATTTATCTGAGCATTGTATGCCCTATTACTTTAAACAATTAGCTTCTAATGAATCATTTGAAGAACGATTAGAAAGGGCGAACAAAAATAAAATTACACAAGATGATGCTCTGAATCAGGAACTGCAATCAGAGTTTATAAATAAACATGACAATATGACTTATAAAACAATGCAAAAGTCTCGCAAGGCTTTGCCTGCGTTCCAGATGAAGGACCAAATATTAAAACATATTCAAGACAATCAAGTTACATTAATAAGCGGTGAAACTGGATGTGGGAAAACAACACAGGTAAAGATAATGAATATTCTTCTACAATATAACAAGTTATAATGAATATTTTTCAGGTAGCCCAATTTTTATTAGATGATGCTTTAATGTCTGGAAATGGCAGTGTATGTAAAATTGCTTGCACTCAGCCCAGAAGAATCAGTGCAATTTCTGTTGCAGAAAGAGTGGCATCCGAAAGAAATGAAAATTGTGGTGTAAGCGTAGGATACCAGATTCGACTTGAAAAGTTAGTTCAATATTTTTAATCTTGAATAATTATTATGTACTTATATTGTATGACATTTGCTAAGACTAACTTTTATATTCTACTTCAGAGTTATGCCCAGAAAATCTGGTAGTATATTATTTTGCACCACTGGAATACTTCTACAAACCTTAGAAAGCAGTCCTGTACTGCAGGAATATTCACACCTCATCATCGACGAAATACATGAGAGGGATGTTAATTGCGATCTGCTATTAACAGTTTTAAAAGAGAACATTATTCCTCATCGAAAAGATTTAAAAGTGATATTAATGAGTGCTACATTGAATGCAGAAATCTTCTCAAATTATTTTGATAAATGCCATATTATTACAATACCAGGTTTTTGTTATGATGTTGAGGAATTTTATTTGGAGGACGTGTTAGAAGAATTGAACTTTTACAGTTTTAAAACTGCTACAGGTACAGATACAATGGATCTTGAATCTTAGATTTGTATATATTGTATATAAATAAAAACCAAAAAGTTTTTTATAAAAATATCATCAGCTAAGAACATGATCTTCAATAGAAATAAACAACTAGTTGTATATTGCACTTTGCCTTACAGCAATTTGCATAAACTTGCCCCGAGGTATCGAAACACATAGTCAATAAAGAATAATTTTTCTTCTAACCATTTCATAATTCGAGGAATGGGCTGCATATCATTTCATTCCATACAAAACTTTGATTGAATTGCGCACTATCTAAAAGACAATATTAAGAGCTAAAACTTTCAGAGAATTGTTTTTTATCAATTTGAAACCATTTGAGTCCTTGGGAGCAAGGAAATTAGAAAATGTCATTAAGGACCACCCTAATATGTATATATATGTATATATATATATATATATATATATATCAATTTAGAAATATGAACAAACGGCACTCTTTTGCAGTTATTTATTAAATAATATTAATTTTACTTACTGGTGAGCACAACCAGTAAGTATTTAATAAATTGGTGCAAAAAAGAGTGCAATTTGTTCATATTTCTAAATAAATATCTTACCACTCAGAATACATTTGTTATATGTATATATATATATATATATATATATATATATATATATATATATATATATTGTAGAGCTTCGAACAAAGAATCCAAAAAGTAATAAAAAACAAAAAATATAGATCATTGCATGTAATATTTCATAATATAATTTCAACCATTTGTTAATATTTTTTGTATTTTATTTTTAATAAACTACCCCTCGTTTCTAAATGGCGTGATTTATATTACGATTCTTTAAATCATATGGCCTATATTTTATTATTTAACATTTAGTTTATTATTTATTTCATTTTATTGGTGTCGGTTTCAATTGTACAATTTCTTTTCAATTTGTGTGTTGTGTCTTTTTCCTAGTTTGTATTCATATTTTTATTTCTGTGTAACTTCTAGTAATCTATAGTAATTCTACTAGAAAAATATTTAATCCAGTTATTTTTAATTTTAACTTTCTACAATATTTATTAGAATTTCTTTACTGAATAAAAACATACAAACAGTGTCGAAAAAGTGTACATATATAATAAATATGTAGTTAATTATATATTGTTTTTATTTTGACTATTTGTCTATATGTATTACATAATATTATACTTGAACTCAGGTCACAATGCAAGAGAAATAGGAAAGGCTTATAATGATCAGATATACAAAGAAATGTCCTCATATATACAAAAAAATAAGAACAAATTTAGTAAAAAAGTTATACAAGCTTTACTTAATCCCCTCTCAGAAGATATCAATTTGGAACTAATTTCAAAACTGATATGGCATATTTGTGATACACAGCCCGATGGAGCTATTTTGATATTTCTACCGGGTATGAAAAAATATATTTAATATTCAAATACAGTAGAACTCCAATTATCCGAACTCCAATTATCCGAACTCCGACTATCCGAATCGCCGATTATCCGAATCACTTTCAGAAAAAAATATGTCCAAAAAAAGTCTAAGTGCGCTATTATTCTTCCACCAGCAAAGCCAGTGTAGGCACATTGTTTGTTTTGATTTGACGGAGATGTTTACAAAACAATGGTTTTTATTTCTAAACTTGTACATAAGTACATTTTATTTATATTTAAAACATGTGAAAATGTCATGTTTCTTTCATTTAATTCAATAAAAAAATAGTGCAATATCAAAACGTAACTTTTTTTCTCTCCAATGGCAATTTAAAAAAAAAACTCCGATTATCCGAATATTTGATTATCCGAATGGGTCCCAGTCCCCATTAATTTGGATAATTGGAGTTCTACTGTACCTATTATTAATTAATAATTATTCTGTAGGACTCGACACTATCTCCAAGTTACACAAATCTTTGCTGAGTGAATCTGATAAATATAATAAATCTGTCCAGATTTATCCTTTGCATTCCAAATTATCGACTGCAAATCAAAAGAAAATCTTCGAAAGTCCTCCAGAAGGTGTGAGAAAAATAATTGTATCGACAAATATAGCAGAAACCAGCGTCACAATCGAGGATATTAGATATGTAATAAATTGTGGCAAATCCAAAATAAAATCGTTTGACGCTGATTTGAATTTAGACAGCCTTAAGGATGAATGGATAAGTGTTGCTAATATGAAACAACGGAAAGGTCGAGCTGGTAGGACTAGGGAAGGAAAATGTTATCATTTGTTCAGTAGGTAGGTATAGGTAAATAGTAATAAAATATTGAAGTTGTAGTAAATTACTTCCTGAACAAAAAACTGTTCGAAAGATATTAGTTGGGAATCGCGTTGATTAGTTTTTAGTAAAAAAATCTTCGTAAATAAATGTTGAAAAAATTTAAGGTTACGATGAATTTCGTAGTCTAAAATAACATACTAAATAAATATTATAGGCTTACGTAAGCGTTTCATTCATCAAATTTCAAAATTTCACCGCGCGCTTGATCGATTCTACAATAGAACTCCAATTATCCGAACTCCAATCATCCGAACTCCAATTATCCGAACTCTGACTATCCGAATCGCCGATTATCCGAATCACTTTCAGAAAAAAATTGTCCAAAAAAAGTCTAAGTGCGCTATTATTCTTCCACCAGCAAAGTGTAGGCACATTGTTTGTTTTGGTTTGACGGAGATGTTTACAAAACAATTATTTTTATTTCTAAACTTGTACATAAGTACATTTTATTTATATTTAAAACATGTGAAAATGTCATGTTTCTTTCATTTAATTCAATAAAAAAATAGTGCAATATCAAAACGTAACTTTTTTTCTCTCCAATGGCAATTTAAAAAAAAAACTCCGAATATTTGATTATCCGAATATTTGATTATCCGAATCGGTCCCGGTCCCCATTAATTCGGAAAATTGGAGTTCTACTGTAATCAGAAGCTACTGATCTGTTGATTGCAGTTGACCTGTCGTTCACACCTAAATAGAATACATCTTTAGAACCCGAAATGGATGAAATGTAGGCTTGCATCGAATATTCGGTTACTGTTCGGTATTCGGTATTCGGTATTCGGTATATTCGGCACTCTTTTTGATATTCGGCCGAATACCGAATAGTTAAATTCAAAGGTTTACATAATATGAAATGAATTCGGTATTATATTTTGTATATATACTAATTTAAATTTTATTGATTTGAGATTGTAAACGAACACGTGAAGAACTCTTTCTTCAATATTCAAAGGACACGTTATTGTTATATGTTTATGTTATTTGTTAAGAATCATTACTAATCATTAATCAAAGAGAACAATAAATGTTTATGAAAGAAATAATTAGAAATACATTAATATATATGTACAGTATCGCTTTTTGATTTTTTTCTCTAGTACATATGTTATTTAAGTATTCGGTATTCAGCCGAATAGAATAAATAGCGTCAAATTTTCCAAATAAGAAAGAGTTACCGAATAGTAGTTGCAAGCCTAAAAATTGACATACATGTAGTACGTTAGTAATAGTAATTACTTCAATACGAACGAGTTTAGGCGCTATAAACCAGCCGAATAATTGCCGAATATTCGGTAATCGGCATTTTGCCGAATATAATATTCGTAGCAAGCCTAATGAAATGAAATGTGGTAAACAAATTAATTTATTCATACAATTATAGATATTACAAGTGCGCTTAAAAGAAATCGCATTGATTACTATTTCTTTCGGAAGCGAAAATTTTATTTTTGAAATAGCTGAATCTAAATTCTTTTTGACTAAGTTCTTAAAGCAAAATGCCGCTTACACCTTATTTTTTTGTAGACCGAGGATGACTTTGCTGAAAGAATTTCAGATGCCGGAAATGTTACGAATGAGAATCGAGGAAGTAATTTTGAAAATTAAGCTCTTGCAGCTTGGAAACATATCAGAGTTTTTGACGAAAGTACTAGATCCACCCGATGAGAAAGTTGTACAATTTTCTATTGAATTTCTACAAAGGTAAAAATAATTATATATAATAATAATAATGAGTAGTACTGCCGTAAGGCAGGTTAGTGAGCTTAGTTAAACTCGAACTCGATTTAGAGAGTGAGAAATTTAAGTAGTGTGAGAAATTTCCTATTTCTATTTCACACCGCAGTACCGAGATAGACTATTTTTCAATTGAAAACATATTATGATCTATATTTTCCATTGAAAATACATCGGTCCACAACGACATCGGGCACGGCAATCCTAATTATGTATATTACCTAGGACCCCATCCTAATTATATTATATATACATACATTTGTACCCCAACCAATAATGGTAAAATAGAAATATAAACTAGTGGGGTGGGTGGCATCGTGCCTTGAGGCAAATTGCTGGTACCGTAACGAAATGTTCGAGGATTACTGAATGTTTTCAAATAGATTATTATAAATATTGTAACATTGTCTAATATTTATAAATATTATATAAACTGAATTGCAGAGTTGAAATTATTTGTAAAGTATATTAGAACTATAGTCAGAATTAAAAATAAATATTTTCGATATACAAAAAACTAAAAAAAAAAAAAAAAAAAAAAAATGGGATAATTTTTTTTTTCCAAAATCGATTATTTTGTAAAGCAGAAAGTTCTTTGAATCATTTAAATCGGACGCTTCGTTCTCTCAAAAACGGCCATTTTTTACATATTTAGCTCCGTATCTTCAAAATGGCTGGGCCTGCCTTTGCCAAAAACTAATAAACACTTCTCCCAATCATTACTAATTGAATGTTTTTTAGATCATTCAAATCGGATACTCCGTTCTCTCAAAAATACGATTTCTATTTTCTGCACTCTTTGCTCCGTATCTCCGAAACGGCTGGACCTGCCTTTGCCACAAACTAATCAGCTCTTTTCCCTTTCAATAGGAATCGGATGTTTTTTGAACCATTCAAATCGGTTGATCCGTGCGCCCTAAAACGTGACTGGAAATTTGTATCCACACATACACACACACACACACACACACACACACACACATCCATTTTTTCTGAGGTATGCCAAAATGTTCAGAAACCTTCAAAACGTCGAGAAATGTAAAAATTTTCAATTCCGATTTTCGGCCCATTACAATAACTTACCCTACGGGAAGTTAAAAAATTCATCAGTTGTAATGATTTTCTTACCATAGAAGTATATTGGCTGTTTTATGTTAGTAAGTTACTTGTTTTTTGTAATTACAGATTAAATGCTCTAGACTCGGAAGAAAATTTGACTTTACTAGGATATCAATTGGCACAATTGCCAATGGATCCCCAAGTGGGAAAAATGATTCTGATGGCCTCGTTGTTCAGCTGCGTGCGGCCTATATTTTCTATAGCTGCCAGTTTAGCTTTTAAAGACGCTTTTGTTTATCCTCTGGATCGTGAGAGAGACGTAGACCGCAGTAAACGAAGACTAGCGAAAAATACCAGAAGCGACCATTTGATGCTGGCCGAAGCCCTATCTGGTTTCGAAGAAGCGCAAAAAAATGAAGAAGAAACGAGTTATTGCCGGGAAAACTTTCTAAGTGCTTCCACATTACGACTTCTTCAAAATATGACGAAACAATTTGGCGATCAGTTGTATGAAAAAAAACTTTTATACTCTAGTGACATTGGAGATCCAGTTAGTAACGTTCAGTCGACAAATCAAAATGTGGTGAAGTCCATCATTTCTGCAGGGTTATATCCAAATGTTGCTTTCATAAGGTAATATATATATATATATATATATATATATATATATATATTATATATATATAACGTATTAAAATCATTATATTATAATTTTTAGATCTCAAAAAAGTCGCAATGGAAAACCAATTTCTACTAAATTATACATCAAAACAAAAAAATCTGAGGAGCATGTTTATTTTCACCCCAACTCGATCAACTCCAAAGAATCCTACTTTGATTCAGAATTTTTTGTTTATCACAAAAAAATGAAAACATCTAGCATCTTTTTGTATGACACCACTATGGTATCGCCATTAGCTTTAGTTTTTTTCGGAGACAACATTTTTGCAGGGATTCAGGACAATGTAGAATTCATAAGCGTTAATGGATTCAAGTTTCGCTGTAGAAGTTTTTTGGCAAACCTCATTTTACAATTGAAGCAACATCTGGACAATCTTCTGCTATGCAAAGTTACACAAATAAAATTTGTCGACTGGAGAAATGAAAATGATGTTCACATAAAAATTTTGAAGTCAGTATTTCAAATATTTAAATATTTTTTCTGAATATTACAAAAATGATTAATACAATTATTTTGTAGATTGATTTCGGAGTTATTGTCTGAAGAAGGTGCATCGTATTCGGACTATGAATTTGAAGAGACTTCTTCGGATTGAGATTGAATGTCTTAATTAGACTTAATTGAATTAATTATATATATATATATATATATATATATATATATATATATATTTTAACCACCGATGGCACCAAAATTTCACCGACAATGCCAAAGATGTATGCAAGTTCCTCCTGATGCTAAACAAAACTGTTACCTGTGGAGGATGGTCAGTAGAACAGACGAAGACGTCCTATGTATTTGTTTATTTCATAATTTCTTGTACACTTGACATTAACTTAACAAAGAACTTAAATATGACTCCATTGATAACTAAAGTGCCTCTGCCTAACTCATATTGATCTGAACTTTATGGAAACTAAATGACCAAAGACTTCGTCATTGCAAGCCTTTTTAACAGGTCGCCCTCAAAGTCATTTTATAATCCTTGTTCAATGTCACTGCATAGTGCAACTCGATGTTTTACTAATAATAATTAATAATTAATTAATAA